CATTCTTAAGATTATCTCAAAATCTATTTTCATATCTAACTATAAAATTTAAAACTTAAAAAATAGTTAACATCAAGTAGATCTATAAACATATGAAAATCTTTAAAATAGAGGGTCTAGATAATGAGTTGCAAGATGCACTATTTATGGGAATCAAAATCTTTTTGTTGTTTCATATTCATACATCTTGATGTCTAGATGATCAATTAGAGATTTTTTCAACATAAAAATAATTTTTTTCGATGGATTTTTTTGGTGCTTTAGTAATTTTACATTTTAAGGTTGCAACCTTATATAAAGTTTTTTCTTTATTATATAAAGCCCATGCTATAAAAGTAAGACAAACCTTAAAAGCACATTAAAAAATAATTTGTCCGGACATCGAAACCCTCCATATATTAGGCTTTAGGAAAAGTATATAATGAAGCTATTTATCTTTAATACATGATGGTCACAATTAATTATGATTAGATGTGAAATTAGATGGGTGCATTTATTTCATGGAAAATTGTTTCAGGTGGACAATACCTCATTTCTACAATGTGCGGTCCAAAGATATAAAGCATCCATCTTAAAGATGGATGCAAATAGGTTGTCCATCTAAAAAACAAAAGTAACTAACATATGAAATGTTTTTTAAATATAATTTTTTTTAGTTTTCAATTATTATTATTATTTATTTTATTTTATTTTTTCATATTCTTGATCTCCATGTTAAAGATTATATATTCTCTAAAAATTAAAATTAAGTTATATTCAAAAATATATTTATTGTCAAGTTCACCTTTCTACAATATGTGGGTTGGCCACATAGGAACAATGTCTTTATCTCATTGACCAATATCAAACTTCAATGGAATTTTGTTTGAACTCTATGACAAATCCAAGCTATCAGATTTGATATCAAATAGTTATAAATAATTATGTCATTTTTGTATTAAAAGTAAATGGTTTCATTATATACAACCTCATAGTTTTAAAAGTTAAAAAAAAAAAAAAAAGCTAAAACTAAAACTAAAACTGGAGGAGCTACAATTACTATCCTTCTCAAACTGCCTTTTGACTATTTTCATCCTATGAGCCACGCATGCTCCTTGTCCCTGACCGCATAAACTTGGGGCAAGGGAAGCGTGATTCCCGCCAAAAACTCAGCGAACGCTGACGTGGCAAAGGGAAAAAAGGGCAACCGTCCATTTAATTGACTCAACGGCACACGTCAGCTGCCAACTAAATCGAGCCCCTCTTTCATGTGAGTCCTCCTAATCACCTACGTTGTCCAATAACAGTAATCCACCTGGCATATCATGCCACATTACGCTTTCTTTTTTTCTAAAGAAAAATTATTTCCTGGCGGCCGCACCTCGCTTCCACATGCGCAAGCCACAGAAAGTATAAACCATGTATTTTGAAGATGGATTTAAGTAGGTATTCTATCTAAAAACAATGAAAATTAATGGTTTTATTTTTTTTATTATTAAAATTACTATTTTTTGTTTTTAAAATTGATTTATTTATTCATATTCATGATCTCCATGTCAGATATTTTATGTTTTTAAAAATAAAATCTTAAAATTCATCTCAAAAATAGATTTATTAAGAAGCTTGCATTTCTACATATACGGGCTTAACTACTTAGAAACTGGGTCCTTTCCAAAAAGGTATTAGTATACTTTAGTAAAACTTGACCCTCATCAAGAATTAATTTAAGAAGTTCAATTTTGGGGATATAACTTTATTAACCTTAATAAAAAAAAGGAGGTTCCCATTCACACCCTGTATGTAGTTGAAAAAAATAATGACTTGAGATTGAATAAAGACTAAAATTTTTAGATAGTGAGATTTAAGTGTTTTGAAAATACAAATTTCAAAATTTTCTTTTGAGAATAATTGTCTGGTGATTCTTACGTGTCTCCGAAAATTTCATATTAAAAAATCCTCCCAAGTAAATCTTCAGGCCGAGGGGGTCTTTTTTAAGGGTGTTGGGGGAATGGCTCAACCGATAACAACCTGTTTTCTCCCCCCGTACTCATTTTTTTTATTTCATTTTATTTTTAGTTTTCTTACCACTATTTGGTGCCTAGAAATGGGTTCGAATGTACTGATCTGAAATGGCTGAATCGATGATCTAGATTGGTTGACTAGGTGAAAAATCCATAAAACAGAAAAAAAAAGGCTAATAATTTCTGCGATTTCAAGGAGAACGATTGAGATTGTCCACCCATCAAACCCCATCCGGATCGGGAACTCCATACGAGAGCTTTTTCAAACATTGCCACTATCTATGCAAAAACAATTTAGAAAATAAAGAGATACGCGCATAAATGATGTGGTAGACAAATGGAAAAAGAAATAAATAGATGAATGGGGAGGTAAATCATTGAATTAACTAGTACCTGTGTGAGTACTTAATTAATGATGTGGAGAAAAAATTCGGAAAAATAAAATAAAATTCTCAAATGCCATGGAGAAATGAGTAAACCACCCCTGAGATATGATGATGGTTAAATAATGTGCTTATGATTCCTAAAGTTTTACTCTCTCACCCCACCCTTCTATCTCTTTCTCTCTCTTTCACATATTTATAGGAGGATAAAAAGATTAGGACAAAAGTTTTGTGAACCATCCGGCCTATGGGACGGAGTGGACCAGATGGTTAGCATTCACAATAATATGTTATACCCATATTTAGCGAACTCTTTTTGTCACATTATTTTTCTTATTTTTATTTGGAGTACCAAGGTGAGCTGGACATATGTCTTGATTTTTGGGTCCATCCAATCCCAAAAAAAAAAAAAAAAAAAAAAAAAAAAAATAATTAACGCGCAATGTCGACCATCTGAACCAAATTTGATATGAGCTGTTTAGGCTATATTATTCAATGGCAGCATATATTAATTTTTTTTAAAAAATATGATATATTTTTTGATTTTTTGAGAGAAAATTTTGACATATTTTCTAAGTTCTTTAGGTGAGATTAAATTAGTCTAAACAGTAAGCATTTGTCTTTTGCCAAAGAGCAAGAAAAGTGTGAGAAAAATAGAATTTAGAGAGAGAGAATGAGTGAAAAAAAAAGGGGGTTTAGAGAGAGAGAGAGGGTGCATGTGAGGTGGGAGCCACAATGGGGATCGGTTGGTAGTGTAGCTCAGAACATTTGCATGTGCACTTGATACGTATAATTACTCCTATCCGTTTCTATGCAATTTTTGAGAGCGGCTGCCTTGTCTCTTTACATCCCTCCCACTTACTATATATACTCACCGCACCCGCTTCTCCCTCTTCTCATCCCAACCCCTCTCTCTCTTTAACCCCTTCTCTTTTTTTTACTTCTCTCTCTCTTTCTCTCTATAGGAATGGGTGGCAGTAGAGTGTGTGTTGTTGTGTGGTTTTGGATGATGGGGTTGATTTGGGTTTGGCCTCGTGAAGCCTTTGGAGACTATGGATGGCAGGGCGGCCATGCCACATTTTATGGTGGTGGTGATGCTACGGGGACTATGGGTCAGTCTCTCTCTCTCGCTCAATTTAAATTCAAATTCGGTTATTGTAAAATTCTGTCTCTCCTTTCAAACTCTCTCTCTAAATTTGAATTGAATGTTTGTATAGTAGGACTATTTATTTTTGATTCAAAGTAGTTACGACTAATCTTGACCATTGAATGTAAAATTGGGTGGTTGTATTTATGCTATTGACTGAACACAAATTGGGTGATTGTAAATAAAATTGGGTGATTGTAAATAAAATAGGGAAAAGTGACCATTTAAACACACACTCTCTTTCTCTCTTGTAAATAATGTGTTTTCCATTAAAAAACTCTCTCTCTCTCTCTCTCTCATGAATTGGATGTTTGTAAATCTTGGTCTCTCTATTCAATCTCTCTCTCTCTCTCAATTCAAATTGGATGTTTGTAAAACAGGGGGAGCATGTGGATATGGGAATCTGTATAGCCAAGGCTATGGCACGAACACAGCAGCCCTGAGCACTGCTCTCTTCAACGATGGCTTGAGTTGTGGTTCCTGCTATGAAATGAGGTGCAATGACGACCCAAGGTGGTGCCTTCCAGGCTCCATTGTTGTCACTGCAACCAATTTCTGCCCCCCAAATTTGGGTTTGTCAAATGACAATGGTGGTTGGTGCAACCCCCCTCTGCAACATTTTGACCTTGCTGAACCTGCCTTCCTGCAAATTGCTCAGTACAGGGCTGGAATTGTGCCTGTGGCCTTTAGAAGGTGAGAATTCTTATTTTCTCTCTCTTCCTAGAGACAGAGAGAGAGAGTTAATGGAATTTTTGACAAAAGAAAACATTTTCCTTTCCTGTGCTTATCTTCATTTACCAATTATCTTTTTGAATGCACACATTGTTCCTTTCATTGTGTTTGTTAGTCTTCTAATTTGTTGGTTCGCGATCCACTCTTTCACATTAAGCTATAAATCTCTTTCACAACCTTTTGTTAGTCTTAATGAGTGTTTGAAAAATCAAACTGGCCTTAGAAAAAGGCCAGAAATGGCATGTTCCTAAACCGTTAAACTACCGGTACAACCGGCTTAACCAGGCCAGGCCTGTCTAAAAAGTTGTTAAAAAATACAAAAAAATCTAAAAAGTCAATTTAAAGCATGATTAAACAAATCACATTCAAATGAAGTAGAAAATTAGTGAAAAATGAATTTAAAAAATCGATTTGGGCACAGGGTTATTTATGAAATTTTTTAAGAAGATGGAAATTTTTTAATAAAAATATTCATGATCAAAACACTTTCCAATCTTTTTCAAAATGATAAAAAACATTTAATAACACATTACAAACAAATTTCTTATTTTTTGAAATTTTATATAATTTTTTAAAAATATCCAATTGGACCACCAAAACCAGATCAACCCGTATCCGGTTCCAAGTTGAACCTGCAGAATTTGCAAACACTGGTGATAATGTCCTGCCACCAAATTCGATAGTTTGGCTCCATCTTCAAAGTTGCACACCTCTATCTCTCTCTTCCCCCATTAGAAGAGTAACTTTGATTTCTCTTAAACATTAAGTTGATTCCTTTTAATTAATGTTTAAGGGCACAAATTTGTCGGGCTTTTGAGTCTGAGTTTGCCGGAGAATCAGCCGACTCGAAGGCCGATTCTCATACCAAACTCGATCAAATTTTTAAGGAAACACCAATAGGGATCCTAGCCCTAGGAGACTTGCCCAATTTTGGGCCAGTCCCTTCCAAATCACTAGGGCCCACGTCTAAATCGATTCGGCGCTTTATGAGTCGAACCGATCGGTTTTTAATCATTGTTCCCATTGAAGTCATGACCACGTCACCTAAAACTCACATACCCCACTAAATAGATTCTCCCCTCTTTTGTGTTTGCAGGATACCCTGTGTGAAGAAAGGTGGAATAAGGTTCACCATCAATGGCCACTCCTACTTCAACTTGGTGCTCATAACTAATGTAGGTGGCGCCGGTGACATCCACGCCGTGTCCATCAAGGGATCCAACGGTGGATGGCAGCCCATGTCCAGGAACTGGGGCCAAAACTGGCAGAGCAACTCCTACCTCAATGGCCAGAGCCTCTCCTTCCAAGTAACCACCAGTGACGGCCGCACCGTCACAAGTTACAACGTTGCGCCTTCCAATTGGCAGTTCGGCCAAACTTTCAGTGGAAGCCAGTTTTAGAGAGTTTACTGACATGGTTTAGTAATGGGCCGTCATCATCATCATCATCATGAGCTCTATCGTAATTATTTGAGATATGATAATGGTTAATATAAAAGAAATGTCAACTTATTTGGGCTTTTTGAAAAACCTTCGAGATTCGGTTCTCGACTTTTGTCACCTGATCGGTAATAGGTAAGTCTAAATTTCTAAATGTATAATTGGCTGGCGATATTTGTGATTGAATCTGTTAGTGACACGTGTCCTAAAGATGGTATACCTAAAAGCATAGGCCATGAATGCTGAGGTAGCTTATATGCACCCGCTAGGCCTTTCCTTTTGTCATTGTAAGGGTCCATGGCCCTTGAAAGGTGAGGCCAAGGTGAGCCAAGAAGTGTGATATATTGTTGTACACGTATGTTGAAAGGGTATTGTTGTAACACGTGAGTGGTATTGACTATCTTTGTATGTATGGGGAAGAGGAAATTTTATATATGAGAATATTTTTCTTTTAGTTGGAAAATATTTGATCAAGTGAATATCATGTTTGGATGACTTGCGAGAAGGCATTGAGACCTTAGTATATCCTTTTTAGATGATGTTGTGTTTGGTTTTTTGTCATTTCCATGAGAACATAGCATCTTCATACTCATGGAAATTTGCGACAATGAGCGGTTCTCAGGTAATAAATACAATTCACTTCCACATACACAAGTGGAGTGCTTTAAAAATCGCCAAGCTAGTTTGGAATCGTTTGAATAAGCCTAAGATTTGTGGAGTACCGATCGTATACGACCCCCTGATTTTGCCCAGTTTCCATTAGTTCTCAAATTTTTTTTTTTATTACAAAAAACCTTGGAGAATCAAGCAGTTAGCTCGGGCAGTTTTGAGCCGACTCAAATCTCGAATCTAGATAGCCTAATTTTAAAACAGTGGTTCAACCCATTAGTCACTAATTATATTTATATTTTTATACAGAACTTTACGAGTAATGCCGCATCGCAAGTCTGATTTCTACCGCAAAAGTACTAAAAAATGTTCAATAGGGAACCATGTCGAACCAAAATTGGTGGTCCCGAGGGATCAACGATCATGAAGGTAGCATTATTGTATATAAAAGTATTCTGTGGTCCTTGGATTGCAAGTGCAGTGGCGGTAAGGTCTTTGTTTTATGGCCTTGGCCTAATCAGAGATCTGACAACTTGCATAAAAAAATAAAACAAAAATAAGGTAAAGGTTTCTGTACCTCCCTCATGAAAGATATATATTCCCCCAAATCTAGCTGTTCAATTTTAATCAAGTGAGCTAGTTTATTTGTAATATTTTTTCAACAATTTGGTCCTTTAGAGGATTTTATTTATAATACTTTTACACAATTATATAAAATATAAAATTTGGTAAGTGACATCACTCAATGGAAGTGCACTTAAATAAACTTATAAAAAAAAATATTTTTGATAAACTAGATTGACCAAAATGCCAATAAAATTATTCGAGGCATTTTGGTCATTTTATTGTATTGAGTATATATATATATATATATGAGCAATGCTTTCATACAACGGTCGTATCATAATATAATACAACCACATTAAAAAACCATGTTAGAGATATTTGTTTGACACAATTTTTTAAATGTATATTCTTTTCATTCTAAAGAATAATCGCAAAAAAGAAAATTTAGAAAAAAAAACCTAAAAAGTATTTTTCTAGCCCAATTAAGCCGTCCATTTTAGTGAGAAGGTTAGATATAGGCCTCAAAAGGATTTTTTTATTTTCAAAATTTTTATATAGTGTTATCATCATTAGATTAACAATGCTAAAAAAGAAAAAAGTGATTTTGAATGTGTTAAAGCCTAGATCTTGGAATTTACAAAATGGACGATCGAGATTCATTGTTGGAGGGTATTAATTTTGACCATATATGGGGTGCAAATTGATTTTTTTTCCATAAGATTGATTATGAAGATGAAGAGGATGGATGAGCAATATTTGGACTCATGCAAATCTCAAAAACATGGTTTTCTAGAAGTGTGGTTGCATTATACTATGATACAATCGTTACATGAAATCATTGATATATATATATATATATATAAGAAAAAAATTTAAAATAAAATAGTATAAAGAAAAAAATTTTAAAATTAAATAGTGTAGAGGCATAACATTGGTTAAGAATGTACGGTTCGATAAAGAAAGTATATAAGTTATATATATATCAAGGGTTTGGGTATCTAGAAATCTATTATGTGACAATACATTACAAGAAAATATGACATTTCCACTGTTTGGGTGCACTTAATTGTAAGAAAATAGAAAGAGATTATGCGAGATTTCTTCAAAAATTAGGAAATCCATTATGAGTGGTGATAAGTGCAAAATCTATTACGATAGTGACGGGTACTTTTGGGAAATCTGTCACGTGCATTTTTTTTCTACTCTATCTCTGATTAAAAAAATCTTTTAAGCCCTCTCTCTTCATAATAATTAGGTGATCTTTTTTTTTTTTTAAGCTCGTCCTCTAAAAGCATAAGCTGTTATATAAAAATAAAAATAATAAAAATAAAAATCAGTACTCAATGATAAATTACACAACACAATCCTAATAAAAAATTTCACACAACATAATGTGATCCCTCCCTTTTTAAGCTCATCACCTCATCTCAAAGCATCAGTGTCATATAAAAAAAAAAATAATAAAAATAAAAATCAGTAATCAATGAAAAATTACACAACACAATTATAATAAAAAATTTCACACAACATAATCCTCATAAGAGATTACTAAAATCTCAATTGAAATAACATATCTCTTTAGTCTCCACCAATACTTCAAAATTTTATACTGCAATTACCAAACCTTCTATTTTACTAATCAAACTTCTTTCCATTTTTTAACTCGTAACATACAGATTTTGAATTTAGTATTACAAATTTATTGTTTATTTGAAATTATATAGAGAGACATTTGAAAGACTTCTATAAAAAATGAATAAAAATAATGCTTATCTCAATAAAATCATGTTATTCCAATCATATTGTTCCAATGACTTATTATGTTGAAACCAACGTCATGTTAGAAAACATGTGATTGCATATAAGTGTCAAAGGCACTTAAAATAAGTAGAAAATAGTGTCATGACGGTAAAATGTACAAGTTATTATTAAAAAATCTTTTTGGAATGGAGATGATGTTATTATTAGAAATCGTTTTGGAATGGTGTGATGATGATTTCAATTCAGTATTTTGGTGGAATTTTGTAACAAAAAAAAAGGAAATGATAATTCTGCATTTTAGTGGAATTTTGTGACAAAAAAAAAAAGAAATGATAATTTATAGGTACGTGTTGGTAAAATGTTGGTAATGCATTTCCCATATTTCTTCCGGACATAGCCAAACAATAACAATGTATTTTTTAGGTTGCATCTAAATATTACGTAAACAACAACACTTTATTTACAGGTAATGTATTACGCCAGTAATATATTTAACAAAAATTATATTTTTAGGTATCCAAATGGCCCCAAGTAAAAAAAACCCAACCAAAAAGTTAAATGTCGGTCACCTTGTCAGTTGGTTCATGTGGAATTTAGTGGACAAAGACTCAAGTCCTTTTTTCGAAAGAGTTTACTACATGTGCGCATCAATTTTGAATGCTAGTGAAAATAATCATAAACGCTTCTAACAAAGAAAAGAGACAGTGTATTAAAAAAAATAAATAAAAATAATTTTGGAGTATGAAAAAACTGGAATTCAAACCAAAAAGTGATTTATCTTATAACGAATTATTTGGATCATCTATTTTTAAGTGTTTATAAATCTATAGCTTCAAATTTTGTAATTAGAAATACATATAGATTTTCAGGTCATCATAGGTGTTCCCAAAAACAAAACTGCATTTTGGGGCATAATCATGAGGTGCGGATTCCGCCTTAGCTTTGCAGTAGCCGCATCCAATTGATCAGATCTAGATGATCATGATCATCAATTTTTGTAGATAAATTATCTTCGAAAGTAATTTACCCAAAAAAAAAAAAACTTTGAAAGTATCATACGTAATCGGCAAAGTTATCAAACACAGACCTGGACAAGTCCATAACATATACTCGGACAACCCCATAAAAAGCATAATAATATAGTTGTGGTTTGCATAAGGTGTCAACTTTAAACATTAAAGTAAGACACATTTCCAAATCTTGCTAAAAGGCGCAGTTTGGATTCTAGAGACCGTTAGCTCTAAAAATGGTTTTGATCGAATAGATTTGTAAATAAGAGTTTTTTAAAAATGGAGAGTCCAGATAATGTGTCACAAGACAATATTTTGAAGACTTCGCATTTTTTACTCTGTCTCATATCCATAAATCTCGAGGTCAATATGATCACTTGTACGGTTTTTCAACATTGTAGCAATATTTTAGGGTGGATTTTTCAGAGGGTGCAGTTTGTATAGAGCCTAGGCTCTAAAGAATCAAATTAGAGCCTACCTTCAAATAGTATCGAGAAATGTGATTTCAATATTGAAAATATTTGTGATAGCCTTAACATATATTTTTATTTTTATTTTTGAAGTTTAAAGCTTAAAAAATAGTGTAGATCAATAGATCTACGAAAACTTAAAAATCTTGAAAATTGACGGTCTAAAAATATATTACAAAATATACTATTTCCAAAATTTGAAATCCATTTTTTTTCTGATGTCCATGCATCTTGAGGTCGAGATGATCAATTTGAGGATATCTGGGCGGTCGAGATGATCAATTTGAGGATACTTGGGTATAAAAAACAACCTCTTCTAATGAAGTTTTTGAGATAGGTTCAAATTTGATTGTTTAGAGCCTCGGCTCTATATAAACTTTTCCCTTTTTCAGATGCACCTTACTTATGCACTTCATATAAACTCTTTCTTAATAAAAAAGGGCATTAATATATATGAAAATACTACGCCTTCGAGTCCCAGTCGGCAAACCAAATCTCTCTTTCTATAACATGGGAAAGATGCGAACTGACAATTGATATTTTTGGAAAATTATTATGTGTCTAATGATAAACTATTTTAATAAGGAAAACGTTTATATAGTACCTAGGCTCTAAACAATCAAATTAGAGCCCATCTCAAAAATTTCACTTGAAGAGGTTCTTTTGATTCCCAAATATCCTCAAATTGATAATCTCGATATCAAGATGCATGGACGTAGAAAAAAATGGATTTCAAGTTTGGGAAATGGTGCATATTGTAATGCATTTTTAGACCATCAATTTTCAAGATTTTCAAGTTTTCATAGATCTGTTCGATCTACACTATTTTTTAAGCTTTAAATTTATAATTAAAGAGAAAAATATATTTTAAAGCTATCACAAAGATTTCCAATATTGAAACCACATTTCTCGACATTATTTGAAGGTAGGCTCTAATTTGAATGTTTAGAGCCTCAACCTTATACAAACCACACCCTTTATATTTATATAAATGGTGCCACACAGAAAGGTTTTCCTTCTATCTTTAAAGCATAATATGCAGCCCA